ACCCCAAAGATAAAAGTCTAAGCGGGTCAGATCGGGAAACCTTGGGGGCCATTCAACTGGCCTATGACGACCAATCCACTTTCCAGGAAACTGTTCATCTAGGAATGCTCGGACCTGGCACCCATAATGTGGTGGTGCACCATCTTGCTGGAAAAACTCAGGGAACGTGCCAGCTTCAGTGCATAAAGAGGGAAACACATCATCGTGTAGCATGTAGCATCATGTACAGCCGTGTTTCACATATGACTATGAACGCGTAAGAGGAAATAGTTCCTTCCAATTTAGACGATCCGAATGATATAGTTTTTTCTACTGTGTTCCTTTTAATGATAAACTACAAATTTACCCCAAAGTACTAAAATATCGATATTTTAATATGAGAATCGATTCTACAACATAACTTACTGGTATCAGAAGAATCGATATTTCAGTATCGATCCGCACACCACTAGTGGTCTTAAAGATCTCAAAAAGCACATCATGCAACAACTTTGTACAGGAAACCTTCCCAGGATATCCAGCCTACTAAAAGGAGTCAAAAGAGTGGATTGACAACTCGTCCATGAGGTCATAAAAGAACCCATAACAATATCTAAAAAAAACCTCGCAGTCTCACTTCCCTCAGTTATCCTGCATTTCAGATTAAGTCGGAATTTCCAAGTTCCCAGTTGCAATTGTTATATTTATTTCAGTTCAATTAATTTTTTTGTAATTACAACAACAGTTGCCTTAAGATGCTTTTTTTGTTGGTCTGGAATGTCCCTTCGACTCCAATTTTCTTTTCTGAAAGTACCAGCCCCAACAACCTGCAGCTGTGCATAATACAAATACAGCATATTACAAAAAGCAAGTATTATGCTGTATTGTTTGAGACACAGGAATGGCTCTTCCTTGTTGAGAAGCAAATCAAATACTGTTTTTCTTTATATTTATTACTAAAATGCACTAACTCGGGAGTAACATCACTCCTGAGTTCTGTCACCCAACGTATGAGGTAAATGGAATGTGCCAATAAGGTCAGTGTTCATAATTCAACAATAAGAAAGAGACTGGGAAAAAGTAGCATCCATGGGTGAGTTTACTGCTGATCAACAAGAATACATAGGCTTGTCTCGCATTTGCCAAAAAAAACATCCTCCAAAGAACATCCCAAAACTTTTGAGAAAATATTCTGTGGACTGATGGGACAAAAGTACAACTTTTTGGAAGCCTTGCATAAAACTAGCATAGCATTTCATAAAAAGGACATCATACCAGCAGTCAGACATGGTGGTGCTAGTGTGATGATTTCAGGATGCTATACTGCTTCAGGTTCTGGCCAACTTGTCGAAACTGATGGAACCATGAATTCTGCTTTCTATCAGAAAATCCTGAAGAATAATATCCGGCCATCAGTTTGTGACCCAAAGCTGTGAAGTACAGTTTGGTTATGCACAAGTCTAAGTCTCTGAATGTCTCAAAAAATAATAAATAAAAGGATGGTTTTAGAGCGGCCTACTCAGAGACCAAGGTTAAATCCAATTGAAATGCTTTTGCGTGACCTTAAACAGGTCATTCATGTTTGAAAATCCTTCACTGGGCCTGAATTAAAACAATTCTAAGACTCATTGCCAGTTATCACAAATGCTTGATTGTATATACTATAGTCATTGCTGCCAAAAGTGGTCAAACTAGTTATTAGGTTTAGGAAGCACTCACTTTTAAGTTAGGGAATGTAGTGTTATCATTTTTAGAGGCAGCAAAAGTAATAATACCAAAGCTTTGAGGTGACTTCTAATAGTAAAAACTTCTGAAGTCAATTTTTTGTGTGGACAAGGATGGATGAACAAAGCCAAAATGTTAAATGTTTACCTCCTGCAACTATGAAATATCTTATTTTATGTCATGTACTATTTTTAGAAAAAACAAATCATGATATTATCTAAAGTTTAGTTTATACAGTTAAAAGATGTGTAATACAGTTGAAAGAAGTGCAGTACAGAAGAATTGCCCGTTTCTCTTTTAATGTTTTTTATTTATAAAATGTTCAGGAACTATTAAATCTATTGCTGTAAGTTATTTCTCTTTGAATTGTTGATGAGTTGAATATTGATTACCGAAGAATATACCCAAATGTACTTAGTTACTACCCACTATCACCAGTAACAGACATATAAGGCGCCTGTAACAATGCTAAATTTTTAATTCAACATCTCCCCTGCTGTGCTTCTGTTTAAATGTTGTAGGTCTCCATAACCACAGTGCATACTACATCCTGCTTGGATCAGCTTTGACACTGTGTAGATAAAGCTTGTGTACGTATAATGCTCTAATTTTAATACTCACAGGAATTGTCAGCATATGCTTTTCATCAGGAGGTAAGGTGACTTTTCATCTAAAAATTAAATGGATTTAAGTACACTGAAATCAGCTATAAGAGGAGATGCTAAAACAAACCAGCAGTCACCAATGGCAACGCAAGGTAATGTTAAACCAAGGATAGTTAAACACAAAAAGAAACCCAGTATGGAACTTAAAATGTTTTCTTACATTTATTTTGCATGTTATTGTAACATCAAAAGGTTTTGTTTAATTAACGTACATGTTATACCAGTTTTGTGTTTTTTAAACTTACTTATCTGCTTTTTTATGTTTTGTTTTTTCTTGTTTTAAAATGTTTAGTTTTTATTATTTTGGGGTGTTATTTTTAGTTGTTTGTGGTTGTAATATGAGTATTTGTCAGATTATAAGATTTGAGAAGTTTGGAATTGTTTTGCCCACTATCACCTGTAACAGACATACGCAATGTTCCCTCTAAACTGCGCACGTGCGCAATTGCGCACTGATGGCACGGTCTCTGCGCAGAAAAAATCTGCGTTGCGCACAAAAAAAAATCTAACCTGAATTGAAATTAAAATTAAAACTTTAACAATTCTGTTTTGCAGTGTTAGTCAGTAAGTCACTGGCTGCTCCAGTATGGGATTAGAACGATGCCAATCCCATAGTCCAGCCAATCACGCAATTCACATTCACGTAAATGCGCAGCTAATCAACGTCGTTGACAGGCTATGACAGGGTCCTTATGTGCGGACACCGGTGTTTTAGCTAGCAAAGCGGCGTGGCTGATGTGGAGTGAAGCCACGTTAATGACAACGTGTACAACCATTGGAGATGTGAGCAGGACAGACGGAACAATTGATGGAAAAAGTGTGGACTTTCTACCCGTTTTTAAATTGTGTTGATAGGCCACGTAAAACCAGAGTTATGATAAAAATATATGCAATGTTTGGTTTTCTTCCTGAATACTATCGTTGTTTATATTTACTGCGGGAAGAAACGGTAAAAACATATAAGGAAAACGCTCGAAAGCACTCCAGGAAGTTTTAGGAGTGACGGCGGTTTTGAAATGCGAGAGATTTGCAACGTTTAGCGCAAATCTTGTGTAGTTAGTGTGTAGTGTAGTCAATAGTTTTGTTGTGTGCGTCAGAACAATGAGGCGACTGCTGAATGTTACAGGTGTTACAGCAGTGATACATCTCCTGTTGTCAGGCCTGCAGGTATCAGGCTTTTGTTGTTCTCCTTTATCTCATAGTGGACAGAAATGATTTTTTGGAGTAGCACAAATAATTTGTGTGGCATCAAATTTGATGCAGAACAGCTGGTTGTTCTGTAAATATTTTGAAATGTTTGTTTAAATAAACGCCTTGGCAGCATTTTTAGGTAAACAGCTGCAAAAAGCTTTGTTGTTTGCAAAACAATTTTTTAAGAAGTAACTAATTAATTGCCCAACATTGGTC